AAAAATTTTTATAATTAATGCCACAGTAAACTCTCTAATTATCATGATTTAGGCATAAATAAGATGCTTGATTTACAGTGCAGTTATCACAAGATTTTATGCATTATTACTTAGATAGATACACGATCTTAAAATAGAATAAATTTTATATTAGTTATAAGGCTCTGAGGATCACCTTCCCCACAATCCAGTCTCAGAAGAGGCCTTCTAACTACTGAGAAACACATGTGAAAATAAACATAAAAGTACTCTATACTAAATGTAAGTAAAAGTTTATAAGATTTGACTGCATCATACATGTTAATGAGACTGGTAGAATACAAAACAGGTTTCCATTGTACAATCGTATGTTGGGACAGTGGTACCTCCTTAAATAGTTGTGTCTGCCATCCTAGTGCCTGATATGCAATGGCAGTTTACACAAATGTAGCTTCAAGACAAGACAATTCTACTGGTTTTGGAAGAGTTTGGAAGATTACTGTAGTTAAAAGTAAACGTATGAGAGGTGATAAAGATGTGAATAAGTAAAAAAAAAGCATAGGGGAAGAGAAATTAGATATTTAATTGGAAGGAAGAAATGTGGGATGAAGAGACTGCATTTAGATAATGTACAGAACATTAAAATGAATGTACTATATATTCATATGGGTACATAACTTTGCTTGCCCTTAGATGTCTCCCCTTCCCATCCTCTAACTTGACTTAATTTCTAGTTTCCTCACATTTTCTTTCTCACCCCTAAATTGATAATGGTCCAGGATGGACTGAAATGTCATCCACTGTCCATTTTGAATTTGTGAGTTAACTGTGTACTGTTGCGGCTCAAGTACTGCAACTTGTTCTTGTCCCCTGAAAGAAAAATGGACTATGCTTTTTCATCACAGAAGCTTTAAATATATTGAAACAGTGAATTTTGACACTAGCTAACTAGACTGCACGGTATCCGTCAACTACAGCTGTAATTAAATCAAACTTGCCTAAAGGAAAAATTCAAGCGAATAAACTTACTGATGATGGATCCAAATGTAGGCCACCAGCTTCCTGATAAGGAATCACTCTTATTTTCAATGGTTCTTCTGGGTTACTATTCATGGTACCATCATAATCTGGCATCTCCAGTGTTCTGGCTGGAGGACAAGGAAGTGAAGGCAGCTGACCTGGCCGTCCAATATGTAAGTGTGGCAAACGTTGCAGATCGTCTAATACATCACAATCTCCACTGATAAGATAAAATTAATAGACAAAAAACATAAAGTATATATGTTCAGATTATCTTATTATCATGAAGCACAGTATAAACAGGCATTATACACAAATAACCCGCACATAAAAGAGAGAAGCTTACGACGACGTTCCGGTCCGACTTGGACCATTTACAAAATCACTTTGTAAATGGTCCAAGTCGGACCCAAACGTCGTCATAAGCTTCTCTCTTTTATGTGTGGGTTATTTGTGTATCGTTCCAGTCACAGTATTGTGCCTTTTTTTTTTTTTTTTATAAACAGGCTTTGTATAAGGGACAAAAGGAAATTTTTTTTTTAACACAACAGCTCTCTCCCACTAAGCTAGGGATGACCTCCCAAAAGAGAGAGAAAACACATTCACCATCATTTACTCAATTGCTGTCTCAATTGCTCCTTCAGAGCAGGTATTTCCCACCTCCAGATCTCAAGTCTGGCTATCCTATTTCTCTTCATCAATATTACCTTGATCAAACTCAAGTAGCGCATGTTACAAAAACATCCATACCTCCTCTCACTTCGATCCCACGTACTCACACCAGGCCCTAAGACTCAAAACCTCCTTCACCTTCTCCTTCCATCCCTTCCTGATATGTCCCCTACCACTTCTTCCCTGAACCACAGGTATACATACCCTCCTAGTGTTGTGTATTATTAACCCTCAAACTGTCCAAACGTAGATCTACGTTCGCTCATGTAGCGCTCCGAATGTAGATCTACGTTCGATTTTACATGCTTTCTTATGTAAAAAAAAAAAACGTAGATCTACGTTCGGATCACTATGCAAGTGAACATAGATCTATGTTTGGACAGTTTAAGGGTTAATACTGTACTGCATGAAGCAATGAATAACTGAAGTAAATACATAAATAATGTAATTTTTTGTTACTATTTAAAATGTCTCATTATTTTGTTATGCTTGTATGGTTCAGATTTGACTATGATATTATGACAATTTTTTTTATATCGTTAACAGTTTTATAAGACCACAATTTGGAGGGAGAGAGTATGGAGGAGGTGAATGTATTCAGATATTTGGGAGTGGACGTGTCAGCGGATGGGTCTATGAAAGATGAGGTGAATCATAGAATTGATGAGGGGAAAAGAGTGAGTGGTGCACTTAGGAGTCTGTGGAGACAAAGAACTTTGTCCTTGGAGGCAAAGAGGGGAATGTATGAGAGTATAGTTTTACCAACGCTCTTATATGGGTGTGAAGCATGGGTGATGAATGTTGCAGTGAGGAGAAGGCTGGAGGCAGTGGAGATGTCATGTCTGAGGGCAATGTGTGGTGTGAATATAATGCAGAGAATTCGTAGTTTGGAAGTTAGGAGGAGGTGCGGGATTACCAAAACTGTTGTCCAGAGGGCTGAGGAAGGGTTGTTGAGGTGGTTCGGACATGTAGAGAGAATGGAGCGAAACAGAATGACTTCAAGAGTGTATTAGTCTGTAGTGGAAGGAAGGCGGGATAGGGGTCGGCCGAGGAAAGGTTGGAGAGAGGGGGTAAAGGAGGTTTTGTGTGTGAGGCGCTTGGACTTCCAGCAGGCATGCGTGAGCGTGTTTGATAAGAGTGAATGGAGACAAATGGTTTTTAATACTTGACGTGCTGTTGGAGTGTGAGCAAAGTAACATTTATGAAGGGGTTCAGGGAAACCGGCAGGCCGGACTTGAGTCCTGGAGATGGGAAGTACAGTGCCTGCACTCTGAAGGAGGGGTGTTAATGTTGCAGTTTAAAAACTGTAGTGTAAAGCACCCTTCTGGCAAGACAGTGATGGAGTGAATGATGGTGAAAGTTTTTCTTTTTCGGGCCACCCTGCCTTGGTGGGAATCGGCCAGTGTGATGATAAAAATAATAAAAAATAATTTGGAGAGGAAATTTTAGAAGGTATTTCAGTCCATTTTGAACAATTATCAGTCCTGACTTGATAATGGTCCAGAACAAACCAAAGCAACATAATGAATTACCTTTCCAAACACACACTAAGTAGTAGAAGATGACATTACCTGAGACTACCGTTGTACTCCTCATAGCTCACTGGATCAAGTACCGCTACCAGTTCACCCAGATCCAACTTCATTAACACTTTCATAAGGGTTTTAAACGTTCCATCTCCACGTGTCGTAAGATAATCCAATAAGCATCTAATCTTCATAGTTTTGGTGTTTTCAAGATTCTGTAGATGAAAGTTTAGAAGTGATTTTTTTTTTTATTAACACACTGGCCATTTCCCCCCAAGGAAGGGTGACCTGATACAAAAGAAACACTTTCACCATCATTCACTCCATCACTGTCTTGCCAGAAGCGCACCTACACTACAGTTATAAAATTGCAACTTATCAACACCGCTCCTTCAGAGTGGAGACACTGTACTACCTACCTCCAGGACTCAAGTCTGGCCTGCCAGTTTCCCTGAATCCCTTCAGAAATGTTACCTTGCTCACACTCCAACAGCACATCAAGTGCTGTTGGAGTGTGAGCAAGTAACTGAAACCACCTTTGATATACCTTTGAAGAGTTTCGAGAGTTAATCTACTTTCGAGAGTTAATCTACTTTCGAGAGTTAATCTACTAACAGGCCAGGCTCATCTGGTGCTTGCCTGGTCAACCAGGCTGTTGCTGCTGGAGGCCTGCTGCCCCACATATCCATCATAGCCTGGTTGATCTGACACCTGGTGAAGATACTTGTCCAATTTCCTCTTGAAGGCTTCTACACTTGTTCCAGCCATGTTTCTGATATCTTCTGGTAAGATGTTGAATAGTCTGGGACCCCGGATGTTGATACAGTGTTCCCTTATTGTCCCCACTGCATCCCTGCTCTTCAATGGGTTTATTTTACACTTCCTCCCATATCTTTCACTCCAGTATGTTATGTCAGTGTGCAGATTTGGGACCAGGCCCTTGATGAGATAACACTCTCCTTAATTAAGAACCCTAATTCCCACCCTCCTGGTTTATCACCCTGAAAAAATTTATCACTTTCATCTTCTATGAGAATTAAATTTCTGACTGACAAACTTTAATATATTTTTTACCAATGTTCACACTATTTTAATGTTCTTATTTGATATACAGTACAGCAGACCCAAACAGCTCAATATATTAACCATGAGTTCATGCCCCGCCTGTGGTATGGTTTGTTTGCAATCATGTCATTCCGATTTCATAAGTCAGCTCAATATATTAGCAGTCTGGTCCTCAAGTACTACACAAGTGGGAACTGTATCAGATTTCCAATACTAAGAAATAATTACAAGATGAAGTACTGTACTTTGGACATGAACTCATTTGCACCAAGGAAAGCTACAAGATTCCAAGACTTACTTTTCCACTTCCTTATTTTTTTTTTTTCAATAAACTGGCCGTCTCCCACTGAGGCAGGGTGACCTGAAGAAGAAAACTAGTCTTTCTTCTTTTTACATTAAATAATTTGTACAGGAGAAGGCGGTTACTAGCCCCTTGCTCACGGCATTTTAATCGCCTTCTATGACATGCACGGGTAACATGCTCTCTTGAAAGAACTAGTACCATGCATCTTAAAATTAAAATAAAGGTTGAAAGGACTTGTGCCATCAAGTCCTTTCAACCTAAGGTACATATACAGCATATACAGGCTCTTCCTTTCCAAAGAACTTGTGTACATGAAGAGCACAAGTGTTGCACCATACTAACCTGGAACCTCTCGGCCATCTCTGGGGTCAAGACACCCTCCACTTTAAGCTCGTAGATGACATGTCCTGTCATTTGTGCTTCTACCACTGTCTGAGCAATAACTGACTTATGCTCCTTTAGGGTCCTTTTTTCTTTCTCATCCATTGTCTTACTGTACCTTCAAGCCCTTAAATAGAGAAAAAAGGACAGGTTTTATTGTGATAAATGTCTTGTACATCAAGCATTTAATATAAATTATAAGTAAGGTACTTTATGAACAAACATGATGAAAACAAGTAATTGTGTCTAAGATATGCATAACTGTGCATTATAAAAAAGATACAGTACTGGAAACCTTGACTACAGTTACAGAAATCAGGAGGAAACAAAGCAAAGTGAAGTACAAATAAAAATAAACACTAAACATTGAGAAAATTAGTGTTATGTATGGAGCTGTATATTAAGTAACATACCGAATATTACCATGACCTACCAAACAAAAGAGTATCATTGAGCACAATGAGGTTATTAACCCACAATCTGTAGGACCATGTTGAAGTACAGTAATAATTAACTCTGGTTTTGACTTTTTCTCAAATTTTAAACCTCTAAATTTATAATTTATTCCTAAATTATGATGCTGCATTAGTAAAAAAAAAATCTAAAGTACCTCTTAAAAAAAATAATAAAGTACCTTGCTTTTAAAAAATTTTTAAGGCAGTTGTGGTGCACTATTTAAATATATTACTGTAATTAATTAAAAAGAATAAATTCTATGACTAAATTTGAATCACAGCTCCCTGTACTGAGAATACATTTAAAGGATTATGAAACTCACAATGGATAAACACCAGTAATTTCTCTGACAACTTATTTTTTTAACACACCAGTTGTCTCCCACTGAAGTAGGGTGACCCAAACAAGAAGCCTTTCACCGTCACTGTCTTGCCAGAGGTACACTGAAACTACAGTCCAGATGCCACTCTAAACTGCAAATATCCCCACACCCTCCTTTAGAGTGTAGGCACTGTACTTCCCACCACCAGGACTAAAGTCCTGCTAACCAACTTCATAAGAACATAAGAAAGGAGGAACACTGCAGCAGGCCTATTGGCCCATACTAGGCAGGTCCTTTACAATCCTTCCCACTAACAAAATATTTGCCCAACCCAATTTGTAATGCTACCCAAGAAATAAGTTTTGATGATTCTATTTTTTTCATTATGCAAGTCTCACTCAAATCCAACCCCTCTCACTCATGTATTTATCCAACCTAAATTTGAAACTACCCAACATTTTAGCTTCAATAATCCTAGTAGGAAGACTGTTCCACTCATCAACTACCCTATTTCCAAACCAATACTTTCCTATATCCTTTCGAAATCTAAACTTATCTAATTTGAATCCATTATTGCAGGTTCTCTCTTGGAAAGATATCCTCAAGATCTTATTTATATCCCCTTTGTTAATACCCATCTTCCACTTGTACACTTCGATCATGTCTCCCCTCATTCTTCGTCTTACAAGTGAATGTAGTTTAACCCTTTGACTGTCGCAACCCCAAATCCTGAGGTGTCTCCTGGTGTCACAAAATTCCCCCCCCCAAAAAAAAACTATTTTTTTTCTTATGAAATTAAAGAGAATTTTTTCCCAATTGTAATGACACCAAAAGAACGAAATTTGATGGAAAACTGACAGAATTACGCTCTCGCGAATTAGCGACCTTGGCGATATTTACGAGTCGGCGATTTCGCCCACTTTGAGCCCTATTTTCGGCTAATTCCATTGCTCCAATCGACCAAACTCATAGCTATTTCTTTAGAACTCCATTTTTTCTATCGATTGAGTACAAGAAACTGCCCCTTTACCGATTTCAACTACCCAATAACGTGGTCAGAAATTTGCAATTTGGCCAATTTCACGAAAATTAAAAAAATATGACAATTTCAAAATAGGGTCCAGAATGAACAATGCAGACATTCCTGGCTCTAAAATAACATTTTCTTTGTTCATCAGTCATGTCTCCAGGCCCCTCTAATATTACTCTTGCCTTCTAATTTGAATTTTTATTCAAACAAAAAATAGAAGATTTACTGTTATGCAGACTACTGCAATATTGTAATAATTGTATAAATAATGTCAACCCATTCATGACTGCATATCAGAATGGCTACTTGGACATTTATTGGAAAATGACATTATTTGTTTACTTTTGAACATCGGCAAAAATCAAACATTTCCCCTACTTTGAGCTCCATTTCAAGGTTCATTTCATAGTAAAACCATTCAAAATCACCTCTATTTCTATAATATGTTTTCCATTCTATCAAATCAGACCAAGAAAACAAGAATACAACCATAAATACTATACAAAAATAGACCACAAAGTCAGCTTGATTTGAAGCCGCTAGAATTTATGAGTATATATACGTCAAAAACGGAGGCTCGTAAGATGTATATATACTACCAAAACAGTCAAAGGGTTAAGAGTCTTCAATCGTTCTTCGTACGGAAGATTTCTAATGCTATGTGTTAATTTAGTCATTCTTCGTTAAATGTTTTCTAAAGAATTTATATCCATTCTGTAATATGGAGACCAGAACTGAGCTGCGTAATCTAGGTGAGGCCTTACTAAGGATGTATAAAGATGCAGTATAACCTCTGGACTTCTGTTGCTTCACTTCTTGATATAAATCCCAATAATCTATTTGCCTTATTACATACGCTTAGGCATTGCTGTCTTGGTTTAAGGTTGCTGCTTACCATAACCCCCAAGTCCTTTTTGCAATCTGTATGACTAAGTTTTACATTATTTAACTTATAAGTGCTAGGGTTATGGACACTCCTGAGCTTCAGAACCTTGCATTTATCTACACTGAACTGCATCTGCCACTTTTCTGACCAACAATGAGTTTCTCTAATCCTCCTTAAGTTCCCTGACATCTACGTTTGAATCAATTATCCTACCTATCTTTGTGTCATCGGCGAATTTGCTCATATCACTAGTAATACCCTCATCAAGGTCATTGATATATAGTATTATAAACAACAACGGGCCTTAAGACTGATCCTGTGGTACGCCACAGGGATCCCCACTTGGATTTAACCCCATTTAAGCATACTCTCTGCTTCCTATTAATGAGCCATGACTCAATCCATGAGAGCACTTTTTCCCCAATCTCATGAGCTGCCACTTTCTTTAACAGTCTCTGGTGTGGTACTCCATCAAAAGCCTTACTAAAATCTAAATAAACAATACTGAATTCTTTACCACGATCAATGGCCTCAAAAGCTTTACTGAAGAAGGTTAATAAATTAGTTAGGCAGGAACGGCCCCTCGTGAATCCATGCTGAGTATCATTAATCAAGCTGTGCTTATCCAGATGGCTTCTTATAATATCAGCTATAACTGACTAGTAATTTGCCTACAATTGAGGTCAGGCTTATTGGGCGGTAATTTGACGATAATGACTTGTCCCCTGCTTTAAAAATAGGAATTACATTAGCCATCTTCCACATATCAGACACTACACCTGTTTGAAGAGAATATTAAAAATATTAGTCAATGGTTCACAAAGTTCCATTTTACACTCTTTAAGAACCCTTGAAAAAAGTTCATCAGGGCCTGGGGATTTATTCTGCTTCAATCAGTCTATCTGTTTGATAACCATTTCGCTAGTGACTATGATACTGCATAATTTATTGTCTTCATGCCCACTATAAAAATTAATTATTGGGATATTGTTAGTGTCTTCCTGAGTGAAAATCAAGAGAAAATAATTATCAAGATGCCCAGAGAAATTTTTAAGAACATAAGAACGAAGGAACACTGCAGAAGGCCTACTGGCCCATGCGAGGCAGGTCCAAGTCTCCTACAGCTTAACCAAAGCACCCCCCAATCTTGGTC